TTCAGTTTCTTCACTCACAATAAATCATTAGCAAAACTAAGTCAGCTGTTATAAACTTAAGGCGGTCGACACACGGGAAGACTGAAACCCAACTAAAGTTGAACCAACTGTTTTGTGACGCGATTACGGTTGCAGTTGCGTTGGTTACATCCGCACACGGGCGCGACTATAATTGAGTTGAGACAGTGAATGAGTTCTAATTTTGTTATAACGATACTGTGTAGGCCTACTGTGTATGGTGTTTGAAATGAGTAATAGAGATGAAAAAGACCTAGTGTTTTATAAACAATCAAGAAAGCGTAGAGTAGAAGGTGTTGGGTACATCCTTATGTTAAAACAAATATTTAATGTAGGCTCTTTGTAGCTGTTGCTGCATTACAAGAAACAGACGCAAAATTTCAGTCTATGTACAGGATGTCAAAAAGTGCTTACGAAGAGTTATCACAGTTGGTATACCTGATCCTTGAAAAGCGCAATACAAATATGCGAAAAGTTGTTCAAACCAGGCGACTGAAATCACCTAGCAACCGGCAGGTCCGGTTGCTTAACGACTGATCGCCGACTGGTCCTCAACTGGTCGCATCGCAGTCGCACCGTGTGCACTGTCCCACCTAACTACATTGGTCGGGACGTAGGCGACTAGTTTGTCCAACTGGTTGCCGATTTCAGTTGGAAAACAGCCTTCCCGTGTGTCGACGGCCTTAGAAATATTGCTGTGCCTTATTAATACAGTATTTTAAAATATTAAAGAAACTATATCTATACGTACTATAAAAAATTTTAAACAAATAATTTAGCATTAAAGACAGCAGACAACACTAATATGATTATCAAAGCATCAAGGACTAAAAAATGTAATAGCAAATACAGTATATGTTTCATTGCATCTCTGATTCTACTCTACAAAAATATCAACAAACAACTTAATATACAAACCAGTTCTTTTAATCAGTTCCATCGCCCATTGCCTTTACATTTTCACACTTACCATTAAGTAAACATAGTAACAGATATTTCATTGATTTCAGAAACAAAAGAACACTGTGTACTGCTTAGTTTTATGATATTTCCTTCTTTTAAAATTAATCAGTGGTGTGGCAAAATACAAATAATAAATGTATCAAATAAAGTAAATGTGAACTGAAAGCTATGTTAAGATAAAATAAGAGTATTTTGTATTACTATTGATAATTAAATATAGTTACACGTATACAACAGATTTTAGAAAACAAAAATCAACGACGTACAATTTAGTTATTGATGATATTCTTTAGTTTGATTAAAGCATAGGTTTAGCAAAACACAAAAACTTAATTTACCTAAATATACATATAAAAACAATGTGATGTGCAAGTTATGTTAAGTTAATACAACACATGTTAAGCAGTTACAATTTATTTAAAGTAGCCTCCAAATTCATACAAAACATCTATAAATTGTAATTTTCATACCGTTTCCATGAAAACATATCAATAATATTATTTTCATAACTTAGAAGCTTTAAAAAATCCAAAGCAGAGCCGGAGTTGATACATCAACGGTTATAAAATCTTTTTTTTTCTATAATCATTGACATAGTTTTTGAATAAATAATCCATGATAAAAGGTTAGATTAAAATAAACCTACCTCATAGTTATGGAAAATATTATATTTAATTTCTTTGTATCAGCTGTCTGAAATTGTGATGCAGTTTGGCAGTTCTTCTTGTTTACATTTAAATGTCAAAGCATATGTAAACAAACATTTTTAGTGTTCTAATCGCAGCCATGGAGACCAATCAATATTTACTTTTAAAATGTTCACCTCAGTACTTTTTAAGCCAAAGGGGCAAAGCCTAGGTCAGGTATCGAAATGTGAATAATCCTACAAGGGTCCTTGGTATGGTAGCTATGTTTTTGTAAAATTTAAGCCCAGTTGGTTCAGTAGTTTTGTACCTATTAGTAACACACATACAGACAGACACCATTAGATTTTTATATAATAGTATAGATGTAATGCTAATCATTGATACGTTCAATTCTTTTGTAAGAGGATGACAGATTAATTTAATATACATAGTAAAATACTAGGATGTTCAAATTATTTTTTAAAGCAATCTTTGTAATCTTCGATTTGTTTTAGAGCAATATAATTTGTTTTAACTAACAGCTGGTTAAATAAAAATGCCCTATTAGAACTATGAGGTTATTTACTCTGATTTTGTCATTGATTATTAGAAATAGGTAAGATTAGTAGACCACCGAGAAAAGTAACACCATCGATGTGTACAAGTCGAGGATCTGTACACGAGTTAAATGAAAAAGATTTGCAAATTATTTTACTGCTCATCTTTTTTGGAAAGGGTAGGAAAATAACAATTTTACATGTTTTAATTCGTCTTGGCAGCTTTTTGTTTACAATCAATGTTTTTGAATGCTTGAACTTTGTTTGGATTAGGCCCGGAAATATTGATGTCATAAAGATGGAGATCAAGAATCCTCAGGAATACGATTTTAAATTACCACCACAACCTCAGACGGGTGTTATCCAAAGATATACAGATGAATGCCATAAATTGAACACAACGTCATCATTGACCTAGGATACTGCAATTAGACTAAACATCCTTTTATGAAATCTAAAAAAGTTGTTTGGCGTGTGTTTAGTTGTGGTTACATTTGGAGGCGCTGAATTTTTTATAGTTTAAATAAATGAATATGGGGAATTACGATGTACATTGGTTCAATGAGGGTGGTATAGTTATCAAGGATATTGGAACTGATAACGGGATAGATAATAAACATAGACAATTAATTACGTCACTAGCTTTACTAGCGTTTTTACTTTTTAAATTCCTTCAACATGTGACCAGTTCTTTTGTTCAAATGAAAATATTTTTTTTTTTTTGACTCAGCTGTTTACAAAACAAACTACAGTAATATGTTGTTGTGTTTACTTTTCGTTGTTTAAACTTATTTATTTAGCAATTGGTGCAGTGAAATTGACATAAAGGATGTGTGTGGACGATTCGTTTAATGATGTCAGGACACCAACGTTATAATTATGTGTACTGTGAATTTTATTGGATGTTTTCGTTTTATTTTAGGGAGTTTCAACTCAGACCTACTGGAAATTGTGTATAGTATGAGTAATTGTATTGTGGTAATATTGATTATGGAAGAGGTAGGTATGCGATGGAAGGTGATATCATTGACTAGGCCTATACACTTCTCAATTGATAATTACTCATTCTACTGTAGGCTGCAATAAAAATTTTCTTTATACGTGTAAACTAGCTGTTCTGAATTATAGGCCTAAACCGTTTTAACTGACTACTCCCGTACGTAGGACGGGCTTACACCTCGTTATTGTTAATTTTATTTCGTCCCGAGCAGTGCCGTGTTTTGCTCCTACTCCTAATAAACTTTTATATTTTTCAAAGCTGGTACCGATTGACTATGGACATTTGACAACCGATTCTGGGTACCGGTACCGATGTCGAATATTTTGGCTGTACCGGGAATCGACTCATCCCTAGTTGTAAGGTTGGAATGTCGTCGTAGAAGGATATCCTGGTGTCCGATGTCGTCGCTGATAATATGAGACAGGAAGCAGTTTGATGGCCCTTCTTTGTCGGAACATCTGTCTGTGTGTGTTTAGTTGGTCTCGCTCTCGCAGCTCATCTATAGTGAGATAGTGAGGTGCTAATATTGGGTTTATAACAAAGGAAACTCGTAATGATTGTGATGCGTATCATGGAACTTGTAAAATAATGGTGTTGGCCTATTCCCTAATGTATATCTTACCCCTGCCGCAGCAAACCTACAGACTAGGCGAATTTACATTTTCACGATTGGATTTTCAATAATCTAGGCTATTTCCTTAAAATTGTTGGATTTATTCCCTATTTGAATGACGTTAAGTTTAATGAGTTTAGGTTTACTGTTTCATGGAAGGTGGTGTGTTCTTTTGTGAATTAATAAATGAAATAAATAAATTTGCCGAATTTTTATCAAAATATATTTATAAACCTACAACAGTTTACTTATTCTTCATCAGAATAATACAAACCTTTTCAATCAAATATTTTTTTTAATGTTTGCGTAATTATTAAGCTTACAACAATAATTCAGTTTACTAAATTATTAGTTTTTTTAGACGTGAAGCCTAACAAATGCTTAAGAAAGAAATTGTACAATTTTAGGCTATGCTCTTGTATTGAAATTGGAAAAATATATTTTACCATAAGCCCGGTCACCATTGTCCAATCTGGATGGATTGGATTTGAGTAAATAACATTTTATTGTGTCACGACAAACACTTTGATATTTTGAACAAAGTTTGTAGGTTAGTGCTTTAATAATGATTTTAGCACACTTTTATATCAATTAAAGCAGTATAAAAAGTTTAAAAACAAATTTTGAATGATACTAATTAACGTTTACAATCAACATTAGTTTTATAAGCAAGCCATGAAATTTTCAGACTGTTTGGTTTTCGTGGTGTCTTTACAATTTAAGTTTAAACTTCATCGTTAGTGAGTAGTTGTAAACATATTCTTTTTAGGATCTGGTATTTATTTTAATATTTTTTGTTTATTATAAATTTGTACTGGTATTTTGTAAAAATGTATTTTAACTTGCTTCAATTTTTATTTTTGTTTTAACACAATAAGATAATTCATCCCAGAGATATTTAAGTTTAAATTAGTGCTTATAATTTTTTTCCTCGACCTCAAGTTATTAAGTTGTTCCGTACCTAACATTTATAAATGTTTGGGTGCTTTCCAATCCTATTTGGATTTCCTGATGGGACTCTTAACAGATTAATCCAAGCAAAACCCTAATGAGTTCCAACCAACCAGTGGGATATTTATACCCTTTTAGTAGCTGGAATTTATATGTACTTCGATGAATTTTTACTGTACCAAAATTTCATCCTAAATTTACTAATAATCTCTTTTAATCGGAACATTATGTTGCTATGATTGCTGTGGTTGACATTGGCACTTATGTTACAGGCGAGGCTACGGCTAGTGGTAGCGGCAGTGTTGTGTGTGGTGCCGTGGTGCTCTGCTAGCCTGTGTCCTCCCGGTCTGCAGTACTGGAGCAACGAGTTTGAGTTGTGCATCAACTGTTCACGATGTGACGCCTCAGCCAAGCAGGTGGTGCTCAGGCCATGTCAGGCGCACGCTGACACATTGTGTGGACCTATCTCTCATCTAGACATCGACTGGTCCTGGCTCAAGCACAAGCACCCAGGCAAACACCACGAGAAACATCCTGATGATGAAAAACACCACGGAAAAGGCCACAAACATCACAGTACATTAGACGATGATATTGTTGAGAAGACTCCCCTACATCACAGCATTTTAGACGATGAGGTCGAGACATTGCCTCCCGTGACACACCATGGGAACCATAAGCATCACAAACACTCCAAACTTTTTGATGATGAACACTTTGAGAAAAAACACAGTAGGAACCACCATCTTTCATCTGAAAGTTTTTTGAGTGATGATTTGGAACCTATTGTCGGTCTTAGGAAAATTTCCAAGCTTCCTCCACCTCCTCCTCTGAAGAGCACAGATGAGTTGGAGAAAGAGTGGCAGGAATGGCTGAGACAGTCAAAGAACAGATTGCAACACAGGAAAGACGACTTGTTGAAGACCCTGCACAAAGAGAACAGCGAAAAACATCATAAATTAAATCACCCTAGTGAGAACTCACACTCCAGGACAATGAAAACTCCTTTTGACGATTTTGATGGAGAAATATTCCACTCCCATCATAAAGATCACTCGCAGAAGAAACACTTCTCGCCACTAGATTTAGAGATATTCGACAGACTGTTGAATCACGATCTTCAAAAACAAGAGGAAAGGTTAACTCTATCACATCTGTTGAACCCAGAAAACAAACATGCTAGCCTCCTTGATATAATGAAATCCGAAGACAAGCAGCGTGAAGAGAAAGACAGACCGTTCGCTGGAAATGATTTGGGATATCCGATGGATACTTTTGATTTCCGATCTGTTGTTCCGACTCATCGACTGTTCTTGGGCGAGCCCTCGACTGTCTCTGAGATCATGGACCAGGACTTCTCTGAGGAGTCGGAGGACAACGAGGACGAGAGGCTGAAGGAAGACAAAGATCAGTGGTTGGCTGCAGGAGATCCCAGCGTCATCGCTGTGCCGTTCTCTGCCACAGAGAGGTTTGTGTGGGACTGGCAAGCCGTAGCTCTTACCTCAGCTGTGGCTGCTTGTCTGCTCTTCTTTGTTGTGGTTGCTTGTTACTCGATCCTGCACGCCAGGCATTGGAGGAGGCTCAAGACCAATTTTGACACGGGTAAGTTATATTTTTTCCTTTACAATAATTTTATCGTTGTGTCTCCTATGCGTAGCTTATTTCCAATTTCCTTTTAATTTTAATGGTGATTTGAAACTTATAACCTAGGTTTCTATTGTCACCCAATAATTAAATAATTTCTCCTAATAATTTTTAAGCTAGTCCTTTCCATAAACTCCCTCTCTCTCTCTCTCTCCCTCTTTGTTAGTCATGCTTTTCTCAATGTTAATTAAATGCACAACATCAAATCAAATACTATTTTTAACTAACCAGTCATATCTACAGTAAGGTCCAGCAAACTCAAGCTTCTTTCACACGACGCGGCGCCCGCTGGATCCAGCGTAGGGCTATGGGAGTTATGAGTCCTTTCACACTATGTCCGGCACGGCGCGCGAGTTACCGCTGGATGCACCTTCAGCCGGACAACAGCGCCGCGCGGCATCCACGCCGGACAACTCGGTGAAGGTGAATTGGTTCTTATGGGAGCTTTCACACGGTGCGGCGCGCGCCGCACGGCCCAACCCCTACGCTGTCTCAATTTAGGCAAACTATCTGACCAAGAGGGTGCAACAGTTAATTAAGAAATTATGTATCGTTGTATCAGAAAATAATATATTTAAAGTTATTACAAAACATATATTTTTATGTTCATCCCATGCAAATCGGCCAACTTAAAGTATTAAAACAAAATGTTTCCTTTAATAACTAGAGGAGAATATTTAGTATTAAATTAATAATTTAGTAATTTATACGTAATAAAAAATTTTTTTAACTTCTAGAATAAAATACTTATATATAACTAGCTGGCCCGACAGACGTCGTCCTGTCCTAATGTGGTTTAATGTCAAATGCTCGTTCATTTTTCAAGATGAGCTCGTTCGCATGGCTCAATCACGTCCTAGTTGAAGTTCGTTCGCTACGCTCACTCACCTTTAGGTTGGTGCTCGTTCGCTGCGCTCACTTGCCTTCAGTTGCATTTGACAACAAATATTCGTAAAAAACAATAGAAACCTACTTGCTAGCTCTCATTTGTTATGCATAGATTTGTTTGAGATTTTTCATCTTATGAAGACAAAATTTTGTATAGTTTAACAGACAAATAATTTGTATTAATTACAGCTGTTCGTAGTACACACATAATACATACAAGAGTTTTCGTTTTCAGTTTCGATAGATGGAGTGGAGTGAGCGTTCGTTTTCAGAGTGAGTTCGTTTCCAGTTTCGATAACTGGAGTGGAGTGAATGGTTACATTATCTTTGAGTTGACTCTTTTAAGTCAACGAAAATTGTGACAATTATTCGTAAAAAATCTCCTTTAATATTTTGCAATTGCTCGAATTCGAGCACTAGTTTATTATATTTTAAATTAGCCTATTCATTTTATTTGAACTTTTAAGTGGAGTATTAATTTAAAAGCCACAACTGAACGGAAATTAAATTAGCCTATTCCTTTTATTTGAACTTTTCAGTGGAGTATTCATTTAAAAGCCACAACTGAACAGAAAATAATAAATATTTAGGAGTGCCGTACGGCGCACGCCCCACGAAACCGTACTACTGTAGTGTGAAGATACACGCTTGTCCAGCGCAGCGCCGCACGGCGCTCGCCGCTTCGTGTGAAAGAGGCGTCAGCACTCTATAACCTGGTAGTCTAGATTTTTGGTGGAGGGGTAGAGAATAAGCTGCAAAGAACTTGACGCCAATCTTATTTAGGCCTACACACTGTAAGTACTCTCGCAGCAAACTACGAGTATAAAGGTAGATAGCTTCAAGACAGTACATTGTCTTTGATATTGGGACCTAGTGTCACTTGCAGGCATTAAAACGAGGAATCACGAGTCCTCATCATGGTCCACAACTCTTATTAATGTCTCAGTTTCAATTTATATCCATGATTCTAATTACCTGCAATTTTTAAAATTCAGCACCCTAAAGTCAAAACTTAAAACTCCACATTAGCCTACACGTTTGTGGGACTGTTCTATTTCTTGTCTTAACAACTTTTTCAATACTGTCGTTTTGTTAAAGGGGGGTCCAAGGGTCGGGAGGGTCCGTCGAAGGTTCGGTCTAGCCATTGTCCTGCTTTACCCTCTGGTCAGGTAGTCTGCCTCAACTTAACATGAGACAGCCTTTAACAATAAAGTCAGTCATAGTAAAATTTTATTGAAATCATTAAAAATCAACCAATTTGACATTTCCTGTAACATACAAATTTAAAAAAGTAACTTTTCAATTAAAATGTTTACTCTGTTATACTTAATTTAAACACTAGTACTCGTTAGTATCAAGTTTTTATGAGGTCTAATAGGATTAACGGTAACTCTGAGGTGGTATGCGACACTGCCGTACGGAATGTCGTATGGTTTCCCGCCACAACTATTTGGCTCTAGCACCATTGTCTGGGCTGCATATCAACTCGGTACTACTGCTTGCCTTTCTGGGCAACCAAGGCTACTCTGCCAATTGTATCGTAGTTGTCTGTCCAACATCAATACTAACTCTCTTGCCTTATACGACGTTCATTTACATCTTGGTGTGACATGACATTGAGTTTGCAACAAATATGTCACAATACAAAGTTTGATGTGTGGATTGGTTGTCGTGTTGTCTTACTAGCAAGTTTCTCAATAAGATTTATATCTACTAGTGTACACGTTGCTGGAATTCGAGCAATTGCAAAGTATTACAGGAGCTATTTCGAAACGAATAACAGTCATATTTACAATGAGTTCAAAAGAGTCAACTCAAACATAACCGGTTGGTGTGTAACACAGACCATGTTTATCTTCGTTATTGATAAACCTAAAGCATTCCGGCCGGTTTTCTCCTTCTCAAAATGCCTCGCTGTACAGGCAACACAGGTCATTGATAGAGGGCCAATTGAGAACAAAAAGTCGTTTTGGGGTAGTGTTAGGGCGCATTTATAACTTAATAGTTGAGATTGTCCAGGGTCAGGTGCTGACTTGATGAGTTAAGCCTATTACGCGCCACTGTTCTGTAGCTACGGTCGTTATCACGATTACGCCTCCTGTCTATGTTTCGTTGTCTTCACGTCGTAGGCATTTAAAAGAAAAAAACAACAATTAAACACATTATAGCTACACAAAACAACGATAAATGCACAAATTTGAGATACAACCATACTAACACGATCCGTCTTGGGGGTTATGTTTACACAAACTCAAATACTGTAGTAAATAAATGTACTCAATGCGTTTCATTGGATTGAAAAATAAAATAAATAACAGCAATTAAATTATACAGCTGATCAAAATGTAAACAATTGTTTTCTCCATAAGGATAACATGGGAACTTTCAAAGCCAATGGGGCAGAGGCCAAGGGACTTTTTCAAAAATGTAGGCCAGTTTGCAAATCTACGCGACACGCTCTTTCCAATGAGACGTCAATGGATAAAATCGGTTAAGAAATGGCGGAGGAGTTCAACCGACAAAGTTTCATGTAGCGTATTAATTATATAGATATTGATTTAAATATAAATTGCACTTTATATTGGACGTTTCCAAACACATAAAACTCAGTCTAACAGACAAAAATAATACTAATAATAGTGACTATGTAAGTTTTACTGGATAACCTTTTAGCTATAAGAGGATATAATCAAACCTCTTTCAACGTATTAATACTTTATTACTTTTCAATGAAATGGTGACCATACAAAGTAGGTATTTTAAGCAAAGTATGAATGGAGATGAGTGTAGGATGAGTGAGGACCTCAGTGCCTCTAGAGGGTGTAAGGGTAAATGTTTCAACATGGCGTGAAAAAATCCTGCTTAGCGGGTTAATAAAATCATGTTTTATCCTACTTGATGATATGAAAAATCCTGTGTATTGAAACACTAGGAGGGGCGCAAAAGAGATTGTAGTTCCTTACAACTAATTTGGAAAACATATTCTTTTGCTGTATAACCGTAACAAAGCAGAATTGCACCGTTAGTTTTATAAAATTCTCATTTGATTACCTGATTGGCAGGGTGAAGTTAGCAACTTCTTAAAGTGTAAACAAAGTAAATAACTCCAACCATTTGCCTGGTTAAATTTCTAATTGAGAAATAAACTATAGAAATATGATAGTAAGAAACATCAATTTGTATTATATCCAATACATTGCATTAGGATATTAACAGAAACATTTGTTTACACTTGTCTACCTGAAATAAGTACACTGAATTTGTTCATCTGATAATGGCATTTCTTGTCACCAACTACAATATAGAATCTACATTCAAAAAAACAGAAGTCCCAAGTGAATTGACCCTTGCAAAGTTTAGTTTACCCAAACACCAAACTATGATTGAGATCCAGTTACAACTAACTTCCATATTTCAAAGTAGATATAGTCCTCAAGTAAGTACTGAGTACTAAAACATTTGATTCCTATTTAAAAGTTTATGATTCATCCCCTCCCAAGCTCTATAGTTATCTATCTTTTCTACATTATCACACTTAGCTCTCCCTAATGATCCTATTAAGCCTTGTTTGTAATCATCTATAATCCAAGCCTTTCTTAGAACTACTGTTTACAAAATAAATACTAAAATAGATTTCCCAAAAACTACATTAGGCCTATTAATTGTATAAACGTAAAATATTTTATAAGTACCTAATATATGTCCAATGAGTTTACTGTTAGATGAACAGAAAAGTCAACTGCATTACTATAGCAATTTAAAATATTAAGTTCTAATTTTTTTTTTACATAGTTTTATTTACAATCTGTTTTGCATTAAACAATAAGTATAGTGTTAGCAAAATGGGAGTGCCGATGGAGACCTGTGGGGGTGCGTGCGTTTGAAGGGACTTGACCTGGTCTCCATCAGCACTCCCATTTTGCTAACACTGTACATATGATGGCATTTTTAACAATAAAATAAAAATTGGAAAGCATGAGTTAGCAACTAAACCGCTTTAGCACTAACAAAAAAAAACAAAAAACAAAGAAAATAAATTTCAGAGCTGCTGTGCAAATCAAGTCGGAAGA